GTGTGTGTGTGTGTGTGTGTGTGTGTGTGTGTGTGTGTGTGTGTGTGTGGAGAACGAAAACCCTTTCGTTCAACTCTGAGACTAAAACATTGAGGCTCGTGAGGCGCATACAGCAATCTTTCACATAACTCACCTCTGCACTAAGTACTCCTTTGCAGAACAAGCAAACTTCAGAAAACATCGTTAATTATCTTGTAACTTTTGTAAGGATAATAGATCCACTTCCTCTGCTACAGACCCGGGTATCATGCTCGTGATATCACTTGATTTTTAAATTTGTTTTTGTTTTTGTTTTATTTTGTTGTGGGTGTTATTTTTTTATATTTTCGGTTCAACTATTTACCGTTCGGTATGGACATTATAATATTATTGTGTTTTATGTATTTTTACAGGTATTAGTCGACTCCTTTTGAAGAACATGAGATTTCGAGACTTATCAGACGCGGAAGAGAACTCAGAGGAAGGAGGCGAGGAGCATGGCGCGTACACACCATCTGATTATCGTCCTTACCGGATTCTGGGACAAGAAAGAAAACCCAAGGCAAACAGATACGCACCTTTCCTCAGGCTCTCAAGGAATGGTGCTGTCTCGTCACAGTGTAAGTTTAAGTGTTTAGATTAATTAATTGTTGTTGGTGGTTGGAGGTTTTACTATACAAGCATCGTGACTGAACTTTTAATCAACTGCTCAGCGTACAACTCCGTCAATGATAGTACATTGCGTGCGCAGATCGACTGCTGTTCATCAGCTGTTTGGGTTCATTCAGTGTGGGGATTTAGGGTGGGTTTTCTTAATTTGAATTTTATTTGAATGACCTCTCGCCTCTCATTCTTAAGTCAAATTAATCGAAGAAAGCAGTCGCCTCTTCCACCGTAAGAGGTTTTTATTATCAACGCAACCATTTTAAAAAAGCATTCTCCAGAAATTTGAATTCTAATTTATTTAAAAACTTGTTAGTTTCACTTTGAGTTTTTTTCACACAAGTAGGGTAACTGTTCGCAAAGGGTGCGGTTTTCCGAAGAGAGCGCCACCGGATTTTGGGGACGCTTTTTTTAATTTGCCCAATAAGAGGAGTGAACTATCTTGTTATGTACTGTCCTTGACTCCGCCATACGTCACTTTTCTCCGAAATGGCATATGACGGAGTCTTACACTAGCAGTCTAAATGCTTAAAGCACGGCACTCGATTCGGTTAAACAATTTTAGAGGCGGGGTGCTGTGACGCTGCTTGTCAGGGCTAACCCAGGATAAGACGGATACCACGTACCAGCAGACACTCGATTGAATAATAAATAAAACAACGTCCCATTGGAATTCGAACTCACATCTTCATGTTCGACGAAAACGAGTCTAATAATTACACCAGAAAGCTAGGTAGGCTGCAGTTTCTTTAATATTCTACTGTTATTTTGACAGTCAATCAAAGTTTATTTTTCAAGACCGCCGCCGTATCATGCGCCATTATGAAAAAAGGAAAGATTTGACTCGTAAGCCTTTTTCTGCACTACTTGACTAGAATGCAGTTGTTGGTGAGATTTGGACAATGAAAGCAAAAGATCTTGTCAGAACGTTAGTGTTTTAGCGCCTTTAAATGGCAACTTTCACTGCATGCTTCCCAGAAAGCTGAGATTGTTTGAGAATGCTGTCCGGTCTACTGGAGTAACATTATAAATTGTGAAGCGCATTGAGCTTGCTGTTGAGCGGGAGTTTTCGCTGTACAAAGTAAATTCTATCTGGTATGCTTTATAAATATATTATAATTATATTATAATTACAAGAGATACACGGCTAATTTGTTGGGCTACGTGGGAGCGATTGCTTAGCCCTATTTGTTATATCCGCATCTCACTATTGGTCAACTGTTTTGTCGAAGTACGACTCTGTGCCTTTGTTCTTTATTAAATTTCGATCTTGTATGCCCCCATCAACACAATTAAGATAATTTATGAGGCGGGCTTCCGACCCTGTCTGTTAAGGACAACCCGGGCTGAGAGCATGATGACAACACCCCAGATGAAAGAAAAAGATACTCGATAAAACTTTCTCCCACTCCTACGTCAGTCGTGAGGCTCTTGAAAGGGATACGTTCTTATATGGTCACAGAGGGTCGGAGAACAAACTGACAAATCGCGAAATATTACTTGTTATCTTGAGAAATCGGCTCTAGAACACTGCATGTTGATCCTTTCGTAGAATGATCAGCCAAATACTATGCAAACAAACCAGAAATAAGAGTGATTTTCTTATACCGCTATCGACGCGATGCCTCTCAACCTGTTCTTTTAGACATTGCCCATTTTTTGCCACCTGTAAGAGGCTAACATTTTCGTACGCCCACCGACATGCATTTTCCAACAAAGGAATTGAATGATACCTGCCTGTCACTACCTGGGTGATTTCCGCCGCCCACCAAAATGACTCACTAAATCGTCCACGTTTTTGGCGACATCACCCAGGTTGGCAAGCACTGTTAGAGATAATTTAGCTGTGCACATGAGTCAACCCTGTGGGAAGGGGTCAGCCAAGGCTAAGTAAGATATAACCCCTCTCATCATAAAAGATTGAGCTACTGTATAAAAGTTTCCTTTTAAAGAATCGAATGGTCTTTTGTATGAACCGGCGAAAAGTCGAAAGATTATACCACAAAAAAACCGGAGGAAAATGTATTACCAATAATGAGTCAAATCGGAAGTTCATCCACTGTAATGTTTTCCGTTACAAGTAGCGAAATGTTCAGTCGTATGTCCCCATAGATTTGTACTCCTAGATCAAGCAGTGTTACGGCTGCGACTCTTTGCTCTCTATAAACCTTTTTAGCATTCACAGTATGGGCAGCGCCACTACGACCAATGAAAGGCAAAAGCACCAGTCTCCCTATTGTCCAGTACTCCCGGCATCTTCCCCCTTTGCCCTTTATTTCGTTCAAAATGAGTTTAATGACGAGCTCCAAAGTGAATCAGGTGTACGTCAGAATCCACGATCTAGGACACCATGCCAGTCTATGGTGGACTCCTTCCCTCGATCTATGAATTACGCGATAAGAACATATCAGTTCGTGAGGGTCGAGAACAAGCTGATAATTTGAATAAAGTGGTCATTGCCATGAGCTTGGTTGTGCTTCATCGTGACCTCGGTGCTCTCACACTAATGTTCCCGGTCCAAGTCCTACGTTATTTCTTAGGAACATATAGAACATAATATAGAACAAACTCAAATCAGAAACGCTAATTTGAGATTTTGCATAATGCGTATTTTTGCCTGAATTTTGAAGTTTTAAAGAAAGAAATCGAATTCGAAATGAGTTTTGCTTCTTCTTTATTGTGCCGTAAACCAACACGTCTTCAAGCTTTGGAGAATGACTAGAATGAGCGCCTTCAATGAGTTCGAACAGTAACATATCGTGTAGTCTTCTTTTTCAGTTCAGGTGTAAGGACTGGAACAAAAATTGATGATCACAGTACTCCATTCCTTCATGCTGTCTGTCTTTTTGATCAACTCAATTTTTTTTTCTCTTAGTTTTATTCGTTGCACAGTTGTTCAGACCATCGGTGTGTTGTTCTCTGTCTTCTCTTGCTCTTCCTTCCTTCTATCTTTCGACACAGTAGCAGTTTCTCAAGTCCATTTGACGTGGCCAAATTATCTCAATTGTATTTTTCTGATGGTTCTGATTATGAATCTTTCACAGCCTGCTATCTGGGGCACATCTCTATTTGATCTTGTAGTACGTCAGTGTTTGGTCACTATTGCAAGTCCCTTAAACCCTTCCCGGGGCAGAGGAGGCACTGCTCCATCAGTGGTTGAGCACCTCCAAAAAAGCAAGACAGTGAAACAATGAAAATTGATTTCCTTCCTTGATGTTTCTTGGTTACTTTTTTTTATCCGTTTGGCTTTGTATCTGTATATTCGGCAATGCTATCTTTTAGATCTGGGAGAGGTCTACTTCAGCCCCATCCTATTCTTAGTACAAATTAAAATCCCCATTCCAGAATAACGTCATGGCTACGCCCATGCTAGCTTCACCGAGTGTGGCGACCCTGGAAAGGCGTGATAGGTAAAGTAAGTTCTGAATAAAATAGAGAACTAGAAATCCATACAAATCAGTTAAGGGGTGCTCTGGTGTGGTTTGCTCCTTATTTACAACCATACATCTATCGTCCTTATCTCTCCTCTTTTTTTTTCTTCGTGCTACTCTCTTGTAACCCTACATGCAGTAATCTAATCTTCGGCACTTATATGACCTAATTGTTATTGCAAGTATTGCAAAACTCTTAATTAAACTAAAACAAATCATTTGTTTCTATAAGTTTAATCTTAATTTCATTTGTGTATTTCCACAGTATCGAAACGAGAAAGGCAGCAAGCTTTAGTGAGCAATCTTGCAGCTTTGCTCACAGATATGAAAGACAGAGATGGGGGATCCACACTGCGCATGCCTAGCCTCAGATTCGGATAACTTCACAAGTCCTTGAACCTCCGGGTTCTGAGAAGTTCAGGCATCAGATGGACCAACGCTTCAGACAACTTATTCCCATCGTATTTTGTGAAAGAGTTACAATTATTTATACCACTAGGACATATTATGGCTCGAAATCTTGCAAAACAGTAAAACAATATTTTTATTCCCAAGCTACTTTGGGGGTATGCCAGTAGGGTTTTTAGAAAATTGCTGGATTAAATAGGGGGAAAATTAAATTACATTATGAAAGGGACGACGTATTATTCCGTTCAGTTTTCGTCCTTTTTCCTGAATGATTATTTATTTTCCTCGAATGGTTAGAATTTTGTCCACAACACAATTATGTATTTATAAGATCTTCTGTCTGGTTTCTGTACCCACCAACCTCCCCCCCCCCCACCTCCAGCACACTAACCCCCTTCCCGTGATTTCCTGTTTTTCTTTCTAAAGTACTTTTCTTGCTTGTATCTTTCCCTCTGTATCCGAAAGCTTTCATGACTAGGACTCGTGAGCTTTCATGACCATTCTCTACAATTACAATATTTTTCTTTATTTTCTTCTCTTGTGTGTGTATACAGCAATCACTCGATTGGCTTACATATCGTACATCTCTGGGCGAATCTATCTATAATCATGCATGCACTACATTTCTGGTGGCTGCATGTATGTCTGTCTGTTTGCCTACCCATGAACCGAACCTATTGGTCTGTCTATCTATTTTACTATCAAAAAGTACTTTTCACTCTTTTCTCGATCTCTTCTTCTATCTTTACTTTTAAAATATTATGACAGTCTAAAGGCGGGCTCCATAGTGAACCAGGTGTGCGTCAGAATAAAAAATATTGACAATGCCGCTTTGCATTGATAAAATTAATGCTTAGGAAAGCGACGTATTAATAAGTACACACTGTGTTATTTCTTTACTTAATACATCACTTACACAGAAAGATTTAATCAGTACTGTCCCCCAATGGGTAGTCTACGTCTTTGATACTGGTATCTGAGAAAGTTTTCTATAAATTTATCATATACATCTACATAAATGTCATTCATTACTGTTGTCTCATACCTAATAATTGTCATTTTGAAACATATTTTTGGTACCAATGTTAGATAAAAAAAGGCTATTAAAGTAGACCCAAACAAATTTGCCATAACGATTCCTCGCCTTTGTAGCTGGATGAGAATGCTTTTGTTTGAAACAATACATCGTCCTCTGCTGACCGTACTCTTAAAACATAAGTGTTCAGTTTAATTTATATTTCCGTTTGTTGTTGCTGTTGTAGTTGTTGTTGTTGTTGTTGTTGTAGTTGTTGTTGTTGTTGTTGTTGTTGTTGTTGTTGTTGTTGTTGTTGTTGTTGTTGATTTTGTGTTTATAAACAGTCGGTTGTTTAATCGCTTTAAACACAAAGCTGACCTACCTCTGTTGTGTAATGATTAAGCTCTTCAAGACTACTCACAAAAGAATTCGATCTCAATTTGGGGATTTTGTTTTCGTGTTTTTAATCGGATATCTCCACCTTTCAACTTTATTGTGACCGTTCGTTAATTTTTATTGCATTGTATTTTTTTAGTGAACACATTTTCAACCTCACTGCGAGACTATTTTTCTCATATAAAATTTTACACATAAGTATTTATATTATATGTATAATACGTTGTTTTACGTACGCACTTGTCGATTAATTTTTAAGATGTGATGTCTTTTTCGTTGTAATGCGCATTCAGCATCTTTTAGAAAATGGAAATGCGCAGTATAAATGCTATTTATTATTATTATTATTACCTGTCTTTCTGGTTTATCGTGATCCTCTCAGCTCTATGCTGCGCCTCACAAGTAAGGCCGAACTAGCCTGCCTCTTCAATGATAGAGATTATTATTATTATGTTGTTGTGGGCGTAACTCAGAACTTTCATGACTTACAAGGCACACCAAGCATGGGGGCTTTCGTGGCCTAGAGGTTAAGGTGTTCGCCTTTCATTCAAAAGTTCCTGGTTTCGCATCCGGGTAACGACGGAAACATTTTCTTTTCTAAAGTTGTCTCCTTTCACCTCCTGTCCTGCTCTCTAGCAATGTTCTGTTGTCTGCTTTCGTCTCCACTGTCTTCCCCCACTCCCTTACGTCCTTTGCCTCCTTCTCTGGGCTCCTCACTCTCTCTGTAGCCTTTCTACTGCTACTCCTTGGCTCCTTCTTAATGCTGTCTTTCAGCCACACCCCTGATCTTCTGGTAGGAAAGATCTACACCTAGCCTTCTTGGACATGGGTAAAAAATCTCGGAGGTCTCATGTGCAAGTTGAACATGTTAAAGATCCCTTAGTGGTCTGCAATCGATAAGAATAGGCTTCAGCCGTCACTTGGGCAAAATTCCAAATTTCTTTCCAACTGAAAATGTTTGGTGTGTCCCGCGCGCTCATTTGGCCTTACTATGCAGTTGCGAGGGTCATAAAACACTTACCAACCCCCCCCCCCCCACACACACACATCCAACATGTATAGACTCTCCGTGTATTAACATTTGAGTCACTGCGATGAGATGCACGAGCTATCCGAGAATTTACAATGCAGTCGCACCCAGAAGACGTACTTTTTACCCGCATGTTTGTGTGTTGGTGTGTGTGCGTATGTTCGTGTGTGTGTTTGTGTGCGTGGGTTTGTATGTGTGTGTGTTTGTGTGTGTGTGTGTGTGTGTGTGTGTGTGTGAGTGTGTGTGTGTGTGTGTGTGTGTGTGTGTGTGTGTGTGTGTGTGTGGTGTATGTATAGGGGGTGGGGATGGGTGGGTTTTTTTTTTTTGGGGGGGGGGTCATCAAATATGTCCATCTGTCTTCACGGTCATTTTTTTCCTTTTAACTTCATGCTGGTCATGACTGGCTGGGTCGATTCATCTTGGGGCCAACACATGATCTAAATTGTGTCAATGGGAGCGTAAAGCATCTACGATTTTTATGATCGCTTGGTGTTACCGGAGATGGAGGGGAAATAGCTGACCCCCGCCCTTTTGAAAAACCGTATAGTGATTATAAAGATGTAAACATCATCAGACGTAAGGTAATACTGCTGCACATTTTGAACCAGCAGGAACACAACAGAAACATGAATTTGCATTATTTCATGATTGGGATATTGTTGACTGCCTTACTAAAATTTCAGACAAAGAAATTGAATGAAAAAATTTGCTTGAATTACAAAGTTCCGCCTCTTAGTTTTTTCTTTTTTTCCAAAGTAGGTCAACTTAAACGAGTTAAACCAATGTCATATCTAGATGTAACTGTCACAATAGGGAATGAAAAACTAAAAAACAAAAACAAAATAAAAAACAAAACGACCCAACCCAGAGAAAAGAAACAACGTGTAACTTGTGTCACAACAAGGAGGAATCAAGCACTCGTCATTCTTTGGGCATGTGGACACATGCATATTGGTATAGTCTTAAAGCTTGTTCATTTGCCTTGCTTTTGATGAAAATCGTATCCATCTCTCGAGTAGAAATCGAAATATTTACGATTGAAGGGGGTAGAATCTGACTGTTATGAGGGATAAAAATTAGGGAGAAAATAGCCACCACTATTTGGTGATTACTAAGCTTCAGTGTCCTTGCTAACTGCAAATTTACATTTTCTGAGACTTTCATCAACGACAGTTTTTTTTTTTTTTTAATTTAATTAATTTTTTTTGCAACATCCACACAGAAATATAATGTTGAAATGAATATAAAACGTGTTAAGCCAAATTTTGTTTTGAACAATCGTTCTAAAAAGTGCTCAATGGGTGGAAACATGTCAATTTCTTGGTTTTCAATAATGGACAAGCACCTGACACGCTGAAACACCTTTAAAAAAAGAAATATTTACCATTAAAATTCTCCTAGAAATGAGCTCCCGCTGATTCTAAAACCCTAAATCTACAACAAAGTTTAAATTAAACCAAGGAACAAAAAAGAAGAGCTTGGTAAGTTGGTTTTCAGTTTTGCAAAAGAGCTCATTATACTGTGCTCAGGTCGTTAAAACACATTTTTAAAAGTTATTAGTACGAAATCAAGCCGAAAAAGCCTTTCCTTTTGGACGTCAGCGACCGAATAAAGGGCGTTTTGTCATCGGACTTCTAAAACAGGCAACCATTTCAAAACGCCACAAAGCGCCTTTTTCTTGATTCTTGATTTATTTTTCATAGAAAATCAACTAAATTTTTGTTGAGCATAAGGAATGACATTTTTGTTAGGGTACAAGATCTACCGTTGGTGCTTCCTCTTACTGCTGTCTTTCAGCCACACCCCTGATCTTTTGGTAGGAAAGATATACACCTAGCCTTCTCGGATAAGGGCTAAAAATCTCGGAGATCCCTTGGTGGTCCAAAATCGATAAAATTAAAATTCGGTCACCACTCTTGCAAAATTCAAAATTTCCTACCAACCGGAAATATTTGGTGTGTCCCGCGCGGTAACAATATGACCTTATGCTTTGCGAGCGTCGTAAAACACCAAAAAAAAAGAAAGAAAGAATAGAAAGAAAGAAAACGGCGTTTTGTCAGGGTCGAACAGTTGGACCAAGCGCTATTGAACAAGTAAATGAAGTTGTTATTGGTGCTGTTGCTACTGTTGCTGTTGTTGCTGCTATCACTACTGGTACTATTATGGTTGCGGCTGATGTTTTTACGTCGTTTTTGTTCTTATTATCACTAACTCATTTTGTTGTCGCCAAGGGCATCCTCAGTGCTGGGATAGATTGCGTTATACTCCAAGATGCTAACTAACACATCCTCGTGTGCTCGTCTCTCCTACGTGTTTCGTTTCTCCAAAACCTGAGGAAAAAAAATCCAAAGTTGGGAGTGATCTTACACTCAAACATTCCAGAAAAAATGTCACTTTGAAGGCGTTCATACATAACGTTACCTGGTCTGTACCCTCTGATTTCCCTGCTGATTTAATTATTTCCAACGCTTTTTGTTTGTCGCCTTAGCTCGCATGATATAAAAGAAAAAAAACCCCAGGAAAACAATCGAAACAAAGGTCACCCCCTCCCCACTGCTCAACCTTCAAATTCTCAAAACATCGAAGTTTATTCTGACCTTCATTTCTGATTCCTCACTCATCTTTACACTTTTTTAAAGCTCTATGTCTCAAAATGGGCTTTCGCTTCTCTCTCTCTCTCTCTCTCTCTCTCTCTCTCTCTCTCTCTCTCTCTCTCTCTCTCTCTCTCTCTCTCGCTCTCTCTCTCTCTTTCTCTCTCTCTCTCTCTCTCTCTCTCTGTAATACACACAAATATATGCACACAGACTGACACACACACACTAACACACACACACACACACACACACACACACACACACACACACACACACTCACACATATATTTATATATATATATATATATTATGTGTTTGTATATATATATATATATATATATATATATATATATATATATATATATATATATTCTATATATTATTATATTTATATTATACAAGGACCACAACTAAAAAGTTGGTGCTGCTCTGAAAACCAACATGGTGACTACTCAAAGTGCCCATGATCTCTTTGTCTGTGGGATAGTCAAAGGAAAAACACACTGGGAAGAAAGAATTGGATCAGTGAGGACAACTCTAACAGAAAGAGAAAATAATATCATCAATGAACCACTTGTGTGGAAGGGAAAGGAATAACCTTTCCTCCCTTTCATATCAAATCAAGCTTGATGAAACAATTCGTGAAAGCCCAGTACCTAAAGGGGGCCTGTTTCAAAAACATAATGATGTACCGATTTTCACAATATCAGTTACGATAAAATAAGGGCATCCTTCAAATACGAAATGCTGATCTCAGATTTGATGAGTGACATAACATTAAATACCAATGTGGAGATCGTAACAGTATGAGTCTTTTGTGAAACAATTGAGGCAACAGAAAAGCAGAAAAGTCTGAGAATATTATGGTGAAATCGTTGTTGTAAAACGTCATTTTTTTTGGCTACATCCCACAAGCTGGTGTGAGAATATGCCAACCGTCGTCAAAACAGTTTGCAATGCGTTTCACAGAGTTATTCATCGGACTATACTCAACCGTCGCCCCCCAACATCTGGGTATTCATCTAAGTAAAAAAACAGAAACAAAAACAAAAAAGAACCCCCAAAAAAGCCAACGACATGTGCAGCCTAAAACAGAACTGAAGAAGAGATGTAGGCCTGCAGCACCCATCAGAATGGAAAGCGAAACAAAAGAAATGTGAAGACTGAGAGAAGAACTG